CTGGTATGTCCTGTCTTAGTCCTGTCCTGTCCCGTCCTGGCCCACTCTGAGTGTTCTATCCTGCGTTATCTTGTCCAGAGTGTCTTATCCTTTTCTTCTCCGTAAGCCCTGTGTTGTTTTCTCCTTTCCTTTTCCCTCCTTTCCTGTCCTGCGCTGCCCTGAGTGTCCTCTCCTGTGTGTCCTATTCTGTCCTTCAGTTTACAGTCCTGTCCTTTTCTGTCTTGTCTTGTCAAATCAAATCTGTTTTGGGTTATTATATCATTTTTGTTAGTGTTTCTTACCCTCTGTCTTCATGTCACAGTAGGAAAGTAAAATTTTCTCAATCTCAAGGAAATGAAGCCAGTAGTTTCCGCTATCAGCCCATTCTCCTTCACTTGCCTTGATTTCTTTGCAAGATTCTGCGGGCAGATCTGGGATAGAACCAAGCCGAACTGTAAAAAAACAAAAACGTTGATTTCAAGAAAAAATCATCTTCCTGGTCATTTTTTTTATGAGAAATCAATGCACTGCTGACGACAACAGACTTTTTTATGAATATTTCATGAGAATTCCAATAATTTCCTCGGTTTCCGAGTTAGACAAGCTCTCCAAAAGCAATATCAATTCGGTTTGAAATTCTGGCCACATCTTTTCCATAAGAAAACGATGAAATTCCCATATTCAGCCAAAAAAAGCTTTCAAATAAAATGAAAGTGATCGATGAATTTAATGTGTCTATCGCGTTAATTTACCTCTATTCATGTCTCGCTTGAAGTAATATCTCTCAGAGTCGGAAACGAAATCTTCAGGTCTCGCTTCCTTGGTGCGGTTGTTCAATTCACACGTTTCCTTGGAAATGACGTAATTAAAACTTTGGCATCTAGCGTCACGATAACATTCCCGTAGGCACACATTACCGAGCGGTGCTCCTGTGATCGTCTTGTAGATGTGTCGCCGTAGCATCATTCCCGAGATGGAATATTCAGCATCACCGCTACATTCCTCAACAGCTGATTCAACGAACGCCGACTGACAAAGGAGAAATACTGCTAATATTTTGACATTCTGTAAAGTCATCATTTTTGCTGACTCTCGCTCTGTTATGGCTAAGTAATACACTGTAGTCCTGTGGATAAAATGGTTGAAAAATAGCTCAAATACACCCATGGGAATATAACGTACACCGTAAGTACTACATAGCTGACCAGGAGTTAATAAATGGCATTTTAAATATATGAAATTTACAGAATTCATCACGTAGATCTGTTAGACCAACATGAATATATTGCAAAATACAGCCCTTACACCTTGCATTGTGAATTTAAGAAAAATAAGATGCTGAAAACGTACAGTCTTCGAACTGCTCTACGTTAGGAAACGCGACGGGAAACAGGATTTTTTTAAATAGAGAGTAAAAAAGCCCTGTGGTAATGGAAATTTCTTTATAGAAATAACAATATATCCTTGAGATACGGAGCCTTGCTCTATAAAATGGAAGGCAAAATAAAGGAAATATGTTGCTACAGGTATACGCTTTGAACACCAACTCTTAGGGTGCGTTTCTTTAAGAAAATCCAAGATTGGATTCTTAAATCCGAAAAAGGATTTTGCGTTTCTTTACTAAACAGATCAATCCAAGATCACTTAAGGGTACATCAAAGGAACCGAAGAATCCTTGCTCAGAGTGGATTCTTCGGTTCCATTGACACACCATGATCCGAGAGATCTCGGATTGTTCTGTTTAGAAAAGAAACTCAAAATCCGTTTTCGGATCTAAGAATCCAATCTTGGATTTCCTTAAAGAAATGCACCCTTATATCTCGACTTGAATAAGATTCCAGTAGGACTCTTTTCCTGTTCGTTTATCTTTTCAATTCCTAAAGTAAAAGTAGATTAATTAATATTCTAGGTGAGCTCAGAAAAAACTATAGAAGAATTACTTCCGAGTCATATTCGGTCATCTTGAGCGGGTTGAAAAAACTCTACTCTTAATTTAATTTAAAATGTTTTTGATAATTATGGTGGTTAACTTTTCTATAACTTATCAGAGAACATTTAAGATCACGATTTCGCTCTGGTGACCGGTTGAGTTTGATTATGAAAATGTTAGAAAAAGTTTGCTATAGGACTTTATCAAACGCTCTAGCAGAATTTACATTTACACAAGTAAAATCTATTTGGCAATTGCCTGTCAGGTGCGATAAGAATCTTTACATAAGTACCTGCAAAGATAACTGATAATTATATACTCCAGGAGTATTCGTTTCAAATTCAATTTCAAATTTCGTTAGCGAAATCGAAAAAAAATTACAGTAAATTTTCAAACAGATGATTATTAGTTTTTTTTTCTACTGAAGTAGAAGATCCTCTTGTAACCTTTTCTTTCAGCTGCATCAAGCTTAGAACAAGTAACGGAAATAAAGTAGATGTAGGGTATGTGATATGGTCATAAAATACGTATTTTGGTTTTAAAGATATAAAGACAGAAGGTAAATTTAACTCGAGTTTTCAGGTGCATAAAGCTTAGAACAAGTACTAACGGAAATAAGGTAGGTGTAGGGTATGTGATATGGTCATAAAATACGTATTTTGGTTTTAAAGATATAAAGACAGAAGGTAAATTTAACTCGAGTTTACAGGTGCATAAAGCTTAGAACAAGTACTAACGGAAATAAGGTAGGTGTAGGGTATGTGATATGCTCATAAAATGTGTATTTTGCTTTTAAAGATATAAACACAGAATGTAAATTTAACTGAGACTAGTTTTCAGGTGCATAAAGCTTAGAACAAGTAACGGTAATAAAGTAGGTATAGGGTATGTGATATGGTCATAAAATATGTATTTTGCTTTTAAAGCTATAAAGTCAAAATGTAAATGTAGTCTCGCGCACAAAGTGATCATCAGACTAAGCACTCTGTTTATATCTGTATATTTTGCTCTGCATATTTTTTGTATAATGCACTCTTAAGGATTCATTCACTGTTTATCCGTTAATTTTGTTGTCAATAAACTCTCATGTAAAAGAACTTACGATATTGCTGAAAGGCCCCCTTTTTAACTTTTTGTGGTTTGCATGTCAGTGTTGATGTTGACTCGATATTAAAACAGCTCTCATTTAGCTTTCCGTCAAGGATCCGATTAGGTGATACCCCAAGGACGAATTTTAAGTTTCGGTGTTTTAAAACAATTAAACCTTTTTCTGTGGTTTGCACGGTCCGTGTCAATGTTGATTCGATTCAAAAGCAGTTTCCAGTTAACTGTTAGCTAAGGATCGATTAGGTTATATGGGAAGGCTATTTTGAGTTTCAAGACTTCCGGACAAAAACCCGAAATATTCACTTGTGTATACTTCCTTGGATATTTTCTTAGAATATTCGTGAAAGCAATAAAATTCTCGAACCTAAATGGAGGCGGACATCAACAATTTGGTGGACTGGCCAAAATATATCGTGTAAAGACAGATTCCAATTCTCCCTTAACTCTGGCTTAATTTTCCTAGTTTTCTCTTTTAGCTTTTCCGCGTGAAGTAAAGTAAATAGGTAAATGTGGCACTCATCTCAAATTTTGTCAGAACACGCTCGATACGTGGACAGCAGTATACGCTCGTTTACCGTCAAACTTTTTATGTTATGCTTCCAAAAAATTAAAAGGACGAATGGAAGTTGCTTCTGTTTAAATCTCCATATTGAAAATGCTGACATGTCTGAATTTTCCTGCTACATTTTTCTTCCTTTTGTTTTTTTTTTCTTTTTTGTGCAGAAGGCACTTATACTGTTGAAGTCAACTCGCTCCTTAAGACTTTACATTTGAACTGGTATCGAAACTATGGCTAAAACAAAATATCCAAGACCTAGTGTCTTTACTGTGCAATAGATGGCCTTTAGAAATGAACATCGCTTGTTATCAGCGACATTTTATGAGTGAAACAGAATGGACATTTGTTTCCTTGTTGATAATCAATTATTTAGTCTAGCGCATGGCAGTGGGTTAGGATCGTCGAGAACACGTCGACATAGAAAAGTAAGTTTGATACCGAAAAAAAAAAAATATGGACGAAAGTTCCATTAAAATATTAAAAGACTTAAAGGGAAGGATATTTATTCTCCTTCATCTAACTCCTTACATCGAAGGGAGCAACAACTGGAAGGGTGTCGAAGCTATAGCTAAAATAGAATTTTAAGTACAAACCTTATTGTCTTGTTTAAGATTCCTCCTGAGTGCTTTGGATGTTCACCAGAAATGAGCCTCCCTGCCCATTGGCAACACGTTATATGTCGACCAGAATGCAAGTGCGTTTATCTTTTCTAATCAATTATTTAGTTTGATGCATGGGCGTGGGGGAAAGATCGCGTACCGAACGCCATTAAAACGGCCTCTTGATATGTTGAAACTGTGCACAAAGCGCTGGTTCAAAAATTAATAATTAAACTAAAACTTATAAATAGGCTTAGGAGAAGGATATTTACTTCCCACATAGAAGATGGTGTTCGATGCTTTTTTTTTTTTTTTTGAACTAATGCTTTAGGTCTAGAAAAGTTGCTGGTGGATGCACGAACGTGAGTGTGTTCAGCAATTCCTCTAGACCTCAAAGTACTGTATTTTCTTAGAAAACATGGAAACACCATCTTCCATTTGGTTTAGAATATAGCGTGCATATCAAAAAGCGAAATATTTACATCTGAAAAGGGGCGGTGACTGCGGTGGCAACACATTATCATTATTTTCAGCAGATCCAATGGCATTTATTCAGGAGCAGTATTCAAATCTGATATAGCACATCGTGGAATGACCGTTGAACGTATATACATTAATACCATTATCCAAAAACTTTTCAATGTTTCCGTTTTGCGGTTGTTGAACTGATAAACATTGTCCTGCCTGCTGTGAGGAATGAGACATTCCACTTCCGGGTGGGCTTTCTCTTTATTCGCCATAATTCATACTTTGCTGCTTATGAAATCCGCTGGGTTGTTGCTTGTTGCTTGAGCGAAGAATGTTCCTCTGCATAACGACATTTAATCATTCTTACCAATCGCTTGAACGACCCTAGTCAACCTCCGCCATTTTTGATGCCATCGAAATTATTGAGATTGCATGGTGAAGCCAAATCTTTTATCTTTGTTGTAAGTTTTGTTCCTAAAAATAGGTGTAATTATATCTAGTTGTTTCACAGTTTCCTTCGTTTCGACAAATTTCGATTAAAATACAATAGCCAAACTCTCGCATGTAAACAAAAACAAAGCTACCAGACTGACTAGGGCCCTTTAAGACTCTGTCCTCCTCTCCCCACCGAAACTTGTGACACCAAGGCTCAGTGGTATATTTATTTTTCTAATCAATAGTCAAGTGAAAGTTACTTCGGCAACTTGACTGAAGGCACTCTACAACAGGGGAAAGTACTGCTTATGCCACGAAGCGTTGTAAATTGTCAATTTGTGCTTCGTCAGCTCATGATGCGCCTTGTTAAAACAAAACCCATGGAATTTTCATGTAAGTAACATGAACGTACTAACAAGAACTTTTCTTTAAATTAAAATTGAAAACTCTGTATCATTTTCAACAGGAGTGTCTTAAAAGGAACTTTTCTTCAAATTTGCATTGAAAACTCGACCAACGCACTGAGATATTGTCAAAGCAGACTAATATAGCGGTGTTTTATGTTGTAGAAACGGTTTACGGTAATTGAGTAGCTTTCCTGCCGACAACTGGCAACGTTGTCTACGCAGGAAGATCCCACCCATAGCTACCCATGCTGCAGTAACATAGACTTAAACTATAGAACGAAGCATTTAATTTCACGTTTAAAGAACTTTTTTTTTTTCTTTTACAAATTTCCGTTTTTCATTTCGTAAAAAGAGCTCAGTAATATCAACTTTATAATAACGATTTTGCTCCCCGAAAGTAACGACCCCCAAAGGCTGCTTATTCCAAAGGTAACGAGGGTGGTTACTTACGGAAGTTTACGGTGTATTGAAAACATTTAGGTCACACAACTGACTACCTCTTCCCACAAACGAACTGTTGAATCGAACAGACTGAAACCAGCCGTTAGTGAGTCACTCTGTTTTACTTTTAATTGCTAATCTTTCCACTATCCACCTAAATTTCAGAAGTGTCGAATTGTGAACAAACTTTCAGCTTAAAACACATGCCCGAAAAAAAGATCCTTTCATTTATGCAACGCGTTGAATTTTTTTT